TTTTCTTGATCCATTCATCTACTGAGGGGCATCTGGGTTGGTTCCATATCTTAGCTATGGTAAATAATGCTGCAATAAACATAGTTGTGCTGGTAGCTTCAGTATAGTCAGTATGGAGGTTCCTCAAAAGACTCCACATAGAGCTCCCCTATGACCCAGCAATCCTACTTTTGGGCATTTACCCAAACGATCACAAACAAGACTATACTAAAGCTGTGCTTTTTTTTTTTTTTTAAAGAAAGATTCCAATGATTTGTTTCCCTCTACTGGCAATGGTTTTAGTGGTCTTTTAGTAGTCTCTAGTCTAGTTTTTTCAACTATGATAAAGTTCAACTTACAAATAAGACACAGTAAGAGATTAAACAGTAAACATTAATGATCGAGAACAATTATAATGACAAATTATCAGGAAAGTTAAAACTTATAAATTATTTTCAGACTTTTTCACTTAATACTTTTAGATCATAGTTAACAGTGAGTAAATGAAATCACAAATAAGGGGAAATGAATAGAATTGGGGTCTAATGGGACAGTGTGAACTCATGATTTAGGAAAACTGTCAACTTTTCAAGTTTGCTTTAATGCACTTTAACATGTTCTAAGAATTAAATTGAGAAACAATGATTAGTTACTGTAGCTGGCTTGGGGAATCGAAATAAAAAAATAAGGACAAAAAATGAAAAAGCAGAAGAGAAATACTATTTAAAGAAAAGGCAAAGAAGAAATCAGCCCAGATGTGAACTCAAAGCAATGAGTCTCTAGAAAGATCGTAGACTGAAAGAAAAGAAGCTAAATAAGATATTATTGGAAAAGTAATGGCAAGACTGGTATATGGACTAACATGGGCAAGATAATAATATTGCATTCATGTTAAATGTTTCTAATTTGATTGATACACTGTGGTTTATATATATTTATACATTGAAATACTGTGATTTATACTGTAGTGTTAATTCATAAGATGACAACCATGTTACTTGTAACACTCTCAACTCACTCAGAATCAATGTGCATATGTATGCAGATGTGTGGATGACATATAAATGGAGGCAAGGTGCTAACAAAGGATGGATCGGGGTAACTTTTCTGTTTTCAATTTATTTCAAAATAAGAGCAATTTATTTCCCTGAGAAAAATCTCCACCTATGGCTTAAATATGGTGTGTTTCCCCAAAGGTCTCTATGTGGCATGGTTGAGTGGCGGAGGCATTAAAAGATGGAGCTTAGTGGAAAGTGATTAGATTAGGGATCTTTACCCTCAAAAGGGAAGTGAGTTAGTTCTCTTGACAGTGAGATGGCAAAAAGTGAAGCCACCTGATAGGACTGGTCCCCTGCTATGTTGTAATCAGCCAATGGCTGGCTGAGAAAGGGGCTTATTGATGTAAAACATCTCAGATTGTCTGATCTTGTTTGGACTTCCAACCTCCCAAACTCTGACCTAAGTAAACTTTTTTTTCAGTTATAAAGTATATAGTCTCCCATATTTTCATATAGCACCCCAAAGTGAACTAATATACATCAATCTTCTCAAAAGTTTTGGCCTTTCTAGCATTCTCATTCAGAGAGATTTATAGATTCTTGGATCCTTGACCATTCCATAGGAAAATATCTTCCCTCCTAGTTCTCCCTGGCATTTACTGCAATGGCTGGTCTATGGATTTTGGTAGCTTAGAGTCATTTTACCTTGGATTCTACTGCTCAAGGGATACACAATTGCACCATATTCCAAACCTACAGATCAGAGGTCACTATGGATCTTAAACTGTCTGTCACATGCATGACAATTACTAGGAAAGTCTGTTTTTAAGGCAGCATCTCTGAGATACTCTTTGTTAAGTCAGTATGGGACTCATGAATCTCCATTTTTCTCTTTTTTATTGTTATTACCAAGTAATTGTATACAACGGTTACAATTCCTTAAGTTATGAGTGCAATACTTCTTGGTTAACATCACCCCTTTCTTTGTTCATCATTTTCCCCTCCAATCCTTACCCACAAGTTACACAGTTCATTTCTTTTATATTGTATACCTCCATTCCAGTGCCCCTCTTTTTGTCTCCAAAAACTGTTTCCACTTCCTGGTATTTGTTTTGATAAACCATACTTCAGTTGTTCAGAGGAGTTATGCCTTTGGATTCATGCCCTAAGTAAGTATACTCTCCTGTAGTCAGTTAGTTTGTATATAAATGCATTGAACCCTGTATAAATTACCATGCCTACTTGTATGTACAACTTCTACATATGAGCGAAAACACGTGCCATTTGCCTTTTCTGAGTATGGCTTACTTCACTTAACATCATATTTTCTAGGTCCATCCATTTCCCTGCAAATGACAAAATATTATTCTTTCAAATGGATGAGTTTTTAAAAAATTTAAAAAAAACCCTCAAACCCTGGGTAAGGGGTGTGTGTAGGCCTTAGTTTGATCAACATTGTCTTTCAGCCTATCTGCACCTATATGAAGTCAATAAGATGTATTAAATTCATTTGAATTGCCCAATGTTATACAGAGCTAAAACAAACAAACAAACAAACCTGCCTTCATGGCAGAAATGGAGACACACAAGAGATAAAGGAGATCTCATCAAGGCAATTTACTTCTGGGTAGCCACTCTCCACAGATTTAGGCAGGCATACCAGGCAGGGTATCTGCTCAGTTTTTATCTCAACCCAAGCTGCCTCTCCTTGTCAAGGAGTCAGGCTCACCTCCTATTCACAATTGGTTACCAGGTTGGTAGACTGATACAAGGAAGTGAAAAAGCACTACAATCATTTGTGAAAGTTCCCACTCATTGATAAGGACTTATACCCTTGACACTACTGACTGATTATAAACAACACAGCTGATACTGTTTGAAGTTAAGAAACAACTAATTCCAGGAAACATCAGTATAGAATATGATGAGTTGTTGCAAGATGGAGATATTTTTGGTTTGACAGAAAAGACAGCTTTTTCTCACAGCCTAAGCATAAAAACAGGACCAAAATCCACCTATCCTGTAAGTAAGTGACATGTATTTCAGGCCTGTACTTAGCTCTAAAAGCAAGAGCCTTCTAGGGTTCAGCCACTGTTAAGATGGGTGTGGCCTGGCTCCCTGTCAGGGGTCAGCCCTATGACACAACCTTTTCCAGGGTGGAATCATTAAGGATATAGTCACCGCAGCATAAAGAATATAATAAGCATCCTTTCCTCAAATCCTAGCATAATTTTGACTTACTCAAGGAGTTGCACATCCTAGCTGGGTGTTGCTGCTCATCCCTGTAATCCTAGGAGGCTGAGATCTGAGGATTGTGGTTCAAAGCCAGCCCAAACAGAATAGTCCATGAGACACTTGCCTCTAATTAAGCACCAAAACAAGGACAACAAAAAGCTGGAAGAGGCTCCAGAGGTAGAGTACCAGGCCTTGAGCATAAAGGCTCAGGGACAGCATCCAAGCTCTGAGTTCAAGCCCAAGCCCCAGGACTAGCGCTCGCGCACGCGCACACACACACACACACACACACACAGAGTTTCAAACCTTGCAAAGCTTATAATCTCTTGTCTCCTCTTAGTTCTTTTTAAAATGTTTTAGAGGTGATATACAGTTATATATGTCAGGTAATAACTACACTTCTTTTTGGACAATGTCACCCCTTCCCTCACTCTCTCCCAGTTTTTCCCTCCTGTCTCCACCCACAAGTTGTAGAGTTCTCCCCTTAAATCTTAATGGTGAAGTCTATGGGAGTAGGTGGTTGGAGGAGTTTTCTAAAGCATCTGCTCAGTCTTGTTCTCATCTCCATTGACCTTTTGCCTTTTAGGTCATTAGCACAAATGTGTAGTGCAATTGGAAGTAACACAATTGCTATCTGACATCACAGTCCAAAGTCAAGACCAGATGCAGCATTATCAACATCTGAGTCTACATATCTGATCTTTTTCACTTATAGTAAGTCGCACAGGACCACAACATGCTATTATGCTCAGCATTTTATACCCAGTAGCTATTCAGAAAAAAGGGATGATAGAAATGTCCAGTCACCAATGTACACAATAACCACAAGGTATATTATGATGTGTTTGGGAGAGTACACTCTCTGTGCTGGCTGCTTTATCAGGTAAACTCCCACAGAGCATAGCAGTCCAATGTTAGGGTTAAAGGCAAATAGAAGACAATAGCTCAAAAGATGGTACTGCTTTTATTAATTTTTTTTGTACTGGTCTTGGGACTTGAACTCAGGGACTGAGCACTGTCCCTGAAAATTTTTGCTCAAAGATGATGTTATACCACTTGAGCCACAGCTCTACTTCTAGGTTTGGTAGTTGGAGATAAGAGTTTCATGGATTTTCCTGCCATGGCTAACATTGAACCGTGACTGTCAGCATCTTAGCCACCTGAGTAGCTAGGATTACAGGCATAAGCTACTGATGCCCAGCAGCACATCTTTTGATTGGGAGTCTCTATGTAGTCCTTTGGATTTTTTTTCTTGCCATGTAATGAAAACAAGCAATCTAAGCTACTGAGCCATTCTAGCTCATAGTTTATATTTCTTCCTAGCTTTTGAATTCATCACAGCCAAGTAAAGAAAAAAAAGCAAAAAATCATGAGAGTTACCAAAAAAAATCAAAAACTGATTACCATTCTCCACAGCAGCTGGAAGTCAGAATTAATTACTTAGTCACTAACTGTAGAAGAAAATATTCTTTCAAAGGAGTGATACTCTCTCAAGAAAGGATACACAGGACACTAGATCATATACTACAGAGTGATATTTACATTTCAGAAATCAGAAGTCAAATTATGAAATGGAGGGAATTTTAGATGTCGTTCAGAATATTTTTACTTGAGCTGAAAACATGAAAATGTTGCACAGACGTTTTGTAAGGGGGTTAACAAGCGTCTATTACCAAGACATATGGGTTAATAATTTCATGGGTTATTCAGGAATGATCTGCTATGATTGAAACCATGTGTGCAGAGTTTGGGCTTCTGCAGGATGTGTCTCACCAGCCAAGGCCCTGAAGATATATTTGTGTTGCCTGCAAAGCATACAGATGATTGGCTTAGATACACTTCCCAGACATAAACAGTGAAGGAATGTTCCTGAAGTTCTGTATGCTATCAGATAGAGAAGGAGTACTGCTTACCACATTGTACAAGCCGATGCACCAACGCTCAAACAAAATCTGCCCAGAAAATCCATTAACAAAGGCGAACCAAAGCTGAAAGAGAAGAGAAAGTTCATGAAGTTTTTAGATCAATATTGACCTAACTGTTTCCATTCACTAAAGGACTGGGGAATGTGGACCACCAGCTGGACACAACTGCTAATGGATAATGAGCCCCAGGATCATGGCAGTAGTTCTCTCCTTGAATTCCCAATATATCAAAACTATCAAAATTTTAATAAAAATTTATATTGAAGACTTCAGTTCTTTTTTGTGCCAGGACCTGAGTGCTGTCTCCTCAAGGCTTGTGCTCTATCACATGAGCCATAGTTCCACATTCAGCTTTTTTGGTGTTAATTTGAGGGAAGAGTCACATGGACTTTTCTGCCTGGGCTGAATCTGAACCATTCTCCTCAGATCTCAGCCTCCTAGGTAGCTAGGATTACAGGCATGAGCCACTGAAGCCTTGCTGAAGACATCAATTTTAAGAGGCTATGTGTACAGGCTTGCAGACAAGAAAATAATTAATTTATACTTAATATGTGTTGGGTTCACATTGTGATTGGAAGAATCTCAACTTCATGTTTTTTCCCTATACATTTGATTTGGTCAATATGATTTGTTTCAAAACATGGAGCCTCTATTCCTGATGACCACCACCTTAACAAATGCAAAGCAGAATAATATGGAACAAATATTCTCAAGTCATCCTTTGGGGAGGTATAGGATATATAATTAGATAAAATGCTGGATTGCTATTCATGCTTTTGAGTAATCTACAATTCATGATTGACCATAAATAACTACAAAGCAAATTGCGAAGAATATAATTAGTGCCAAACAACAAGGGAAGAAAACCACATCAGCAAAGGAAAGATCATTCAAGTACAATCAGCAGAAGATATGGAGGGAGTCCAATGATGAAGAGGAAATGGAAGAAGAGATGAGCCATCAGATCAATGTGCAGAGACTGGACTCGAAATAAACACATCACAATATGGGGTACAAAGTCCTTCCATTTAGAATCTAGTAGAATTTAGCTACAGTCATGCAGGATTCTAATGACTAGTAGTAGACTTAAAAAAATATCCCATACCCTCCCCCACAGTATAACTCCTGCTTTCACTGTATTTGATGTTGGTATAATTTGTGGAGGGGAAGGGGAAAAACAAATTGTTTAAACAGGGATATAGGCGGACCCATTGCAACAATGATATGTACAAGTCGTTATGTTGAAAACGAACTTTACAACTTTGGTGGGGGGGGCAGGGAGGATTGGGTGGGGGAGCAGGGGAAGGATGGGAAGGGATGGGAAGGGGAAACAAAGGAGGAGGCTACAATGCTTGATAAGAAATGTACTCATTATCTTGCCCATGTAATTGTAACCCCTCTATACAGTATTTTCACAATAAATAAAAAAAAATCCCATACAATGCTACTGAGTTTCTGCATTTGTAATTGCTAGGTGGCCTAGTTTGTATAAATAATGATGTATATGTCTTTCTCTGTGTTCTTTGTTGGGGGGGGTTATTGCTTACAAACTTCTTTTAGAATTGAGAAAAGTAGCCAAAGCATCTTTGATAGAAGGTTCTGTACTAGATGAAAGTATCTGAAACTAAGTTGGAGTGACTTCTAAAGTGAAGATCTTTAACAATAGTTTTTCTTCTGTGAGTTCCCTTATTTCCCATTTTGTACTAGATCCTTCCTAAAAAAATGCGTCCTATCCTACCCATTTCTCCTTCAAAAGAAAACCTATGTGCCCATATACAGTTAATTCTTGGAGTATCTCTTCAACTTTTACATATATAAACATTTTAAAGATACTAGGGCTCCACCCCCCAGCTTGTTCCCAACCTGAGTAAATTTTTAAAAATGTAATTCTCACCAAACATGACATTTATATATATATAATTTTATTTTTATTTTTTATTGTGAAAATACTGTACAGAGGGGTTACAATTACATGGGCAAGATAATGAGTACATTTCTTATCAAGCATTGTAGTCTCCTCCTTTGTTTACGCTTCCCATCCTCCCCCCACCTCCCCTCTCAATTCTCCTCCCCTCCTACCAAAGTTGTAAAGTTCGTTTTTCCACATAATGACTCGTACATCTCATTGTTGCAATGGATCTACCTGTATCCCTATTTAAACAATTTGTTTTTTCCCTTCCCCTCTACAAATTATACCAACCTCAAATACAGTGAAAGCAGGGGTTATACCATGGGGGAGGGACATACAAAGCAACAAAGAAATAATCTTATAAATGTGTTACAAACAATCACCTGAAAGAAAAAAAACATTTTAATACATGTCTTAGGGTTCATTTCCCTAACATCAACTTATCTGACCTTTTCTGCTTGACTCAGACATAGTTATTGCAAATAAGGGAAACCATGGGACCTAAGTTTCTTTGGGCCTGGCTTACTTATTATGGTAGAACCTAATGGGCAATAGTTCTGCCATAACAACCCACCCCAGAAATTTTCCTGACTCATATTTTTTTCAAAATTTGCTTCCTAATTCTAACAAGTCCTAGTATTTTCTGTCCTTTCCTTCCTTCCTTTTCCTTTCCTTCTTTCTTCCTTCCTTGCTTTCTTTCCTTCTTTCTTTTTGTCTTTCTCCCTTCCCTTCCCTTCTTTTGCCTTCCCTTCTCTTCTCTTCCCGTCCTTTTTCTCTCTCCCTTTCCCTCTCCCTCTCCCTGTCCCCTTTTTCTTTCATTCTGTGCCTCTACTAGGGCTTAAACTCAGGGCCTAGATGCTGCCCCTAAGACTTTCCTTGCTTAAGTCTAGTTCTCTACAGCTTGTGTCACAGCTCCACTTCTAGCTGTTTTTGTGTATGGTTAATTGGAGGTAGGAATTTCACAGATTTAGAGCTCTGGCTCAAGTGGTAGAGTCCTAGCCTTAAGCAAAAGAGCTCAGGGATAGCACCCAGGCCCTGAGTTCAAGTCAAGTCCCAGTACTGGCACACACATACACAAAGCCAAACTCTGAAAGAAATGAATGAAATGTTCTTTTATTTTTGCAAAAAAGTAAGTGTAAGACCAGAATGTCAGAAAGAAAGGTAAATATTTTATTAAAATTTTTATTGTTATTATAAAGGTGATGTACAGAAGGGTTACTGTTACATAAATCAAGTAAAGAGTACAATTTTTTTTTGCTAGTTCTGGGGCTCTCTGGGCTTTTGTGTTCCCTGAGCTTTTGTGCTCCAGGCTAGTGCTCTACCACTTGAGCCACAGCTCCACTTCCAGTTTTTTTGTTTTTGTTTTTGTTTTGTAGGTCACTGGAGATGAGAGACTCTCAGAAACCTTCCTGCCCGTGCTGGCTTCAAACCATGACTCTCAGATCTCAGCTTCCTAAGTAGCTAGATTATAGGCATCAGTGCCTGGCTAAGAGTACTTTTTTTTTGGACAATGTAATTCCTTCTCTCCCTCTCTCCTAGTTTTAACCTCCCATCACCACCTACAAGTTGTATAGTTCATTTTCAACACTGTGTTCAGCGAGTGAGTACCAGTGCTGCATTTCTTTACCCTTTCTCTCTCCATTTCTGTGCCTCCCTTTCCATTCCCAAAGACATATAAAGAAACAAACAGAACAAAAAGGAAAGGAAAGGAAATTAAAACAGCAAAACAGAAAAAATCCTTCTTGTTTTCATTTCCTGGAGTTCATTTTGGTAAATATTATTCTGCATGATTAAATGCACATAGGCATTTTGCCTTTTTGTTCCTCTCCTAAGAGTATCCTCAAGAAAGGTAAATATTTAACACAGTAACTAATTTCCATAGAGAAAAGTATTAATAAAATTGAAAGAAAATTGATCCACAGTACAATCAAAGGCCTGGTTTCCTTAATATGTAAATCAGAATGAAACTGCCCTGTAAGAGGCTAGAAAGATATGCTAAGAGTATATCCACTGTGTTTTCAGGGGAAAAGAAAACTTGGATATAAATGGAGGAAATCTCTCTATATTCTCCTTCCTTTTTACTCTACCCCCCCTCCCCTTTTCTCTTCTCCCCTGCCCATCCCTTTCTTTATCTCTTTCAGTTCTAGGGATAAAACCCAGGGCCTTGCACCTGCTAGGCTAGTACTGTACCACTGAGAAGTTAGAAATATCATTTTTATTAGAATACACACACAATTACTATTTAATTTATATGATGGACAAAAATATAAGGAAAATAGAATTCAAATACTCAGCTAGTAGTATAGAATTTTCTACAAATAAGTTTAATGTACATTTTCTTTGACTAAATGATTTCTCTTTTAGGGCTCTACTGTTATTTATTCTTAATAATATGCTGGTTGGCTTTGACATATTTGGAAAGATAGAACACTAAAACCTGCATGTATGTTGATAGGTGGTAAAATAAATAATAGCTCATTCATTTGATGAAATATTATATAGACATTAAAAAGATTAATGTAAGCTAAGTACTAATGGCTTATAATTATAATCATAGTTACTCAGGAGACTGATTTCTGAGGATCCCAGTTTGAAGCCAGGCTGGGCAGACAAATCCAAGAGACTTATCTCCAGTTAACCAGCAAAAAGCTAGAAGTAGAAGTGTGGTTCCAGTAGTAGAGAGTCAGTCTTAAATGGAAAAAGCCAAGGGAGAGTGGGAAACCCTAAGTTCATGCCTTAGTACTGGCACATATACACAAAAGAAGAATAGAAATCCATATACACTGTCAGAGAAAAAGCTCACAGATGTATCATTAAAATGAAAAATCAAGACATAAGCCAGACATGGCTCAAGTCTATAATCCCAGCTCTTAGGAGTTTAAGGTCAGTCTGAGCTACATGGAAAGACCTGTCTCTTACCCTTCACCTCAACATAAGTCAAAACAAAACAACCCCATTCTCTATCAAAAAAGAAAGTACAGCCAGTCACTGGCTCATACCTATAATCCTAACTATTCACAAAGATGATATTTGAAGATCAAGGTTCAAAGCTAGCCTGGACAGGAAAGTCTGTGAGTTCCAATTAATCACCAAAAAGCTGAAAGTGAAACTGTGGCTCAAGTAGTAGAATGCTAGCCTCGAGTGAAAATGCTAA